AAAGCTCGTTTCGTTTGTAACTTAATGCCCGTTGCGTGTTACGCGCACGAAAAAAAAATGTATTCTTCTTCTTCGGAGAAAGGGAGCTTTCGGTTCGCGAAACAGGATGAGAGTACACACAGACCCATCCGGTTTCGTCCGAAAGAGTCACAATTTTCGAACGAATCGAGAGAAAATTAATAGTATTGCATATTGATTAAGATATATATATATATATATATATATATATATACATACACACACATATATATAATACCGCGAATAGAAGGTACTCTGCATTCGATTTGCAATTTGATTTCACTAGCTGCTACATTTAATATCATGTATATCCCTCGATTTAAAAAATTTATTTTGCTTCCTGTTGCTGATCCACTCGAAATGGAGAAAATTGTTTTGAGCTGCAACAGACGCACACATGGTCCACGATTAATATATTTCTCCATCCAGTAATGGGAACAACGATATATATATATACATATATATATATATATATACATATAATTTTTTTTTTCGGATTCAACTTTTCTTCGTTATTTCTCGCTTATCGAACGTTCGTCAAGTGTATAAAAAAGAAGAAATGTACAACTATCTACGTGTCTTAACAATGATTTATCATATCCCAACTCAGGGATAATCCTTTTCTCGTCTCTACGATCAATTTTATCCCCAAAAATCTTCGCATTTTCATCATCTTATCAATGCTACCCTTCTCTCTCTTCGTTCGTTCGAAACGTTGCAACTTTTCTTCTCGTACTTTTTTCCTTTAAATTTATTTACAGCCATGGGTTCATCCGGTATACACGACTCGCATCTTCCATTTCTCAAGACGGCGGCGTTCGTCGCTCTGCCGCTTCCCCGCGCAACGTTCCCCGGCTCTCGCCGCGACGCACGGATTAATCGATCAACGATTCATGCTCGACGCTTTATATTGCACGCGACGACGATGCGAGCAACGGCTCTCCGGGAACGGTAGGAGAAGCAGCGTCTCCGGTAAATTGTATTATTTATATTATTTCTCGAGGGGCATAAAACGAAGGGAGAGAGCCAGGGAACGTAGGCTGAGAAGGGTCGTGGTGGCGGTGTTGTGGACGCGGGAAGAGCGGTCTACCGTTGCTGGCCCATGCCACCGCTGCCACCGCTGCTAAGGCTCATGTGCGGCTTGAGGCTGTGTATGATTTTAACGTGGGCGACCATGTTATCTTTCCGCGTGAATTCCTTAAAACAAACCGGGCACGGATAGTACTTGACGTTAGGCTTGTGTGAGGTGACGTAGTGCCGGCAGAAATTGCTGATGTGTGTGTATGTACGATGGCATACGGTGCACCGGTACACGTCGCCCTCTTTCACGCAGAAGTCCCGCACAGAGCCTTCCGTTCTCTCGTTCTCCACCTTGAACGATCCCTCGAAGTCGCTCTGGCTGATCTCCGACTCGCCGGCGACCAGATTAAATATGGCACTGCTCAAATTCTCTTTCGACACCTTTTGCTCCGACTCGGAGTCGGAATATTGTTGCGAGTCCTCCATCGACGCGGTGGCGGCCGACGACGACGACTGCGTCTTCCCTTGAAGGGACGAAGCGCTGTACTCCTTGCGAAAGCAACGCTCGAAGTTGATGCGAATGTGAGTCGGTGACTGCGAGCCACCGCCACTCGACGTCTCCTCCGAGTCTGAAACGAACAAATCTCTCTCCCTTAAACAGTTCTCTCCACGCTCCTTAATTAATTTTATCTCGTAATTTGCATTATTTATTATTTTTCTTTAATCTAATCTTATGTAATTATAATACATACATATATATATATATATTTAAACTTAAGTATGCATCAATTATTATATATAGCAATATATATATATAATTGTGTATTTAAAAAAGTAATGTATCGATATACTACTATATAATACGTATTTCTATATATTTGTGGGGGGAAGCAAGAGGAAGGGTAGAGCCAGCAAAAAAGAGTCACCGTGTTTCGAACCGGCTGTCCGTCAACTCTGTCCCATGTTAAGTGTTTTATGCCGCACCCGCTTTTCCGTGTGCGTCCCCGCCCCTCTGTGCTCGTCGCCATTCCCTCTTCAGATTCTTTCTTTCGCTCTCACGCACACGCTTTC